TCCCCTCCAGGAGGTTTGAAATGGAGGGGAGGCAGACAAGCAAAGTCATGATTGTGGGAAAGGCTGAATTTTTTAGATTTCTTTTACTTCTCCCAGTCTAACATTGTTTCAATTTTTATTTTTTAAAATATATTTTACTGATTTTTTGAGAGAGAGGAAGGGAGAAGGAGAGAGGGACAGGGAGAGGGAGAGGGAGAGGGAGAGGACAGGGACAGGGAGAGGGACAGGGAGAGGGAGAAAGAAACATCGATCAGTTGTCTCCCATACACATGTGCAACCTGACAGGGAGTATTTGGTGCACAGGACAATGCTCAACCAACTGAGCCGTACCAGCCAGGGCAGCCTGTATCATTTTTATTCATTTTTATTTTTTGTCCTCGCCCGAGGACATGTTCATTGACTTTAGAGAGAGAGAGAGAATAGAAGTTTTCCAAATTGAAGTTGGGAACTGATAGTGAACTCAACTTTATAAAATCGAATAAACAATAAAATAAACATAATTTAAAAACGAAAACGAATGCATACTCATTTGTCTGCATGATCTGAAGGAGTGTTTACTTTTGGGCCCTTCGAAGCCCACCCTGCACCACACCTGGCTCTCCCAGGCCGACTCCTGGGTTCAGGACATTGTTCACGTCCAGCACAGCGACAGTGTTGTAACCGCATGTCAGCCTCAGTTCTTCAGGAGGACGGAGAAATCGGAGAATTCGGGCCCCTGCACTCCTAGCTGATGCCCATGCGGATAACAGAAGGTCAGGGCCAGACCTGACTGAGCGCCTTCCCCAGCCCCAGGACCTGCTTTCTCCCATTCAGGCTGGGCTCGTTCCGGCCTCTTCTCCCCGTGTGGCCGGCACATGGCGCTGGCGGGTTGCCACAGAGAGTGAGGAGGACAACGCTCTCATCTGAAAATAAATCATGACCCTGAATGGGTAAACAAGAAACTAGGGCGGAAGAGGGGGTGCTGGGGGGCGGGGCGGTGCTGAGGGGAAAGAGAATTGTGTCTTTCCTGGGAAGATGAATGCAGCTTCAGAGGCTGGTCTCCCCGTGCTGGGCCCACAGCCACACGGTCTATCTCTGCTGTGACCCCAGCTGTTCCGAACGCCTGGTTCCCGCTGTACCTTTGCTGCGGAGTCCTGACTCCTGGGCCTGACACCTCTCCCAACGTGGATACCATTGTCACTCAGAAAAGTCTCTTCTTTGCACTTTTAATGTGGATCTTGCTTTTTGTAGAACCAGCGTGACCTCTGTTTGCTGAGTGCAAGATGCCCTCCACCTGTGGCCCATCTTACAGAGGGAAGGGGCGAGGGCAGGAGGGGAACTCAGTGGCAGGTCCAGAGGTGCTCCCCAGGCCTGATGGAAGGTGATGTGAAGCCGGAGGCGTTTGAAGGGGTGAATGTCTGGGTCAAAAGCAAGGTGTGTATAGCTCAGGGGTGAAGACTTGATTTTGGGTCTGTTCCTGCTCCTTCTGGGAACAGCATCTTGGTGTGTACAGGGCTGACCCTTCCCCCTCTCAGGGAGGGTCACCCAGTGAATGAATGAGTGAACCAACAGTTAGATGGGGGGAGGCTATTGAGAAACGGTCAGGGAGACACTGAAGGGACTCATGGCAGCCTGTGAGCCAGGATCTGGGAGGAAATAGTCTTCATTCAAATCTGGTGCTTTTTTTTCTTTTTTCTTTTTTCTCCTAAGGCCACAGCTGCCTCTGAAACAAAGACCGACAATTGCCGCCAGCATGTGCTTCATTTTTACTTCCCTTGAATATTCTGCAATAGGTTTTCTTTTTAAACGGCACTGGCGAGCTGTCTGTGTAATGAGGCACATGGCTGGGGAGGAGCAGGAAGAGCACCCCTTTTCCCCAGGGTGCCGGGAGCCGGTCCATCCTTGCTGTTTCAAGGGACCTGGCATATATAGCATACTGTTCTTAATATGTTTGCTCACCTTCTTGGCGCTATGTGTTTTGACCAAGGTCACCTCTCTGAGAAAGGTTGTTTCCCCAGGTAGAGATTTTCCCCTGTAGTTAGGGAGGGAATAAAACCCCTTCACTAAGTGCCAGGTGGGTATTTAATCTCTTTAACTACGAACAGTCATGCTTAAGCTACATAATCTTTACTCCCTGGAATGGAGATAAGAAACACCCTAACCTTTGGAATAGAG